GCACGGAAAAGGGCATTCCTTTAAAGGCAAGGAAGGGCAAAAATATTTTAAGTCAAGTGATAGCAACTGCTGTAGGAGTCGTACGATTTTTGAATCAAGCACGGGCAATGCTGGGCCATGCTGCTAGTTCTTGATAATAATTGTAACTAAAAATATTTTTCAAAAATTTTAGTGGACTCAATGTTAGAATTTTTTTTGTTACCCCAAATATTAATTTTGGGTCCCCTCAGCCTAATTAGACCATGTTTTCTTTCTGAGATAAATCTTGTTGCTCTCATGTTTTTTATTGTTCATACATAAAAGTTTAACATTGTTATTTACCATATATACAAGTTTGTTTTCTTGTTAATTCTTTGAATTAGTGGAAACTAAATTCAACATTCTCTTAGAAGATTCAAAGTGAATAGAATATTTGACCACACCTTAAATATTAATTAATGGTCCTAAACAAGTGGCAAATTAGAAACTCCAAGACAGGACAGATATTGTTTTTTTTATGGTTCTTGTTACGTCAAGTGATTTCTTGTCAGTATTGAAAATTCTTCAATGATCATATAAAATGGCCCACTTTTACTGCATGGAGACATTTATTTGGAAATGATAGAAAATATGACATAGAAATATGAAGGCACTTTTGAATCACAAAAGATGCCTTCCAACAGCCAAACAAAATATTAAGAGACAGAAAATTTGATTGCTGAATATTTTAATTGTTAAAACCTTTTTATTATCCCAAAGGATTTCATATATATATATATATATATATATATATATATATATGTATAAAGAAATATAGTCTTAAGGTGTGCTATATTTATGGGATAAAGTGCTCAATACAACAGATAGAGGGTATGTAAATATAAAAGTGAACATTGAAGTCAACACTTAGAGGCGACAGGCTGTTTCATACTAGAGGCAATCATCATGCCATGTGTATTGTTTTTTTCTCAGCCATTTATAGCTGTATATATTAATAGCTGAGAAAAAAACAACATACATGGCCTGACGATTGCGTCTAGCATGAAACAGCCTGTTGCCTCTAAGTGTTGACTTCAATGTTCACTTTTTATATTCATATATATATATATATATATATATATATATAGATATAGATATGTGTGTGTGTGTATATATATATATATATATATATATATATATATATATATATGTTATGTATATATATATATATATATATATATATATATAAATATAAATATGAACATAGAAGTCAACACTTAGAGGTGACAGTCTGTTTCATTGTTAGATGCAATTGGTGGCTTGACGATTGCAACTAGCATGAAACAGACTATCACCTCTAAGTGTTGACTTCTATGTTCACTTTTATATTTACACATGCTCTATCTCTGATATTGAGCACTTTATCCCATAAATATAGCACACCTTAAGACTATATTTCTTCATGTATGTATATATATATATATATATATATATATATATGTATATTTAATATATTTTCTGTTTGTATGTTATTTTAATAGATACAATTTATTTAAGTAAATGCTCTGATTTTTAAATAAACAGTATTAATTACATTTACTGGCCTGAATGTTTGAGAAATTTTGTAGAAAATATGTGGCCTGCAACAGGAATTGAACCTGAACATAGATTGAGATAGATAGTAAGGATGCAAATATTGCTTAGATCTACAAAAATAGGAAATTGTGGTGAGCCATGATTGCCCATATTCATTCTGAAGAAGAATAATACTATGTGAGGGTTACAAGTAGCAAAAAAAATCCAGGGTGCTAATCTGGTTTATGTCAAGTCTTTTAACAGACATGATTTCATACTGAGTTACATCATATCTCATTTTTTACCAAAAGCACTTGACATCATCTAAATTCACTAGATTCGCTATCTTTTGAGCATAACCATTTGATAGAAGACTACATATCTAAGCCTTACAAGAATGTCAAAATCAGCCAATCTATATTATAAAAGATAATTCTCTATTTGTCACATAATGTCTGCATATGTAATTGCTGTGTAATTGCTGATTGGACCCTGAATTATCACTAAACACAATGAATGGATGTTTCCTCAGGGAAGACTCATGCCTTGAGCACCTATTGGGACTTAAACTCAACTCCGACCTCAAGTGGAACTTGTACATATGATCCATCGCTAAAGATACTGGAAAAATGGTTGATTCCCTGTACCGCTGCAGTAGGTACCTGACTCCTCCAGCTATCCTCTAGCTTTCTGGGAACCAGATCATGCCAAAAATTGAGTACTCTTGCCATATTTCACTTTCCAGTCTTGCGAGAATCCAAAAGCATCTCTGTGTCCTTGTACTTGACAAATTATTTTCCACCCTACAACCTCTTTCCAACAGACTAAATATTGTAAGCCTCTTACTATTCTATCACTATTTCCATGGAAAGTTCTCAGATGAACTTCATTCTGTAGTTCCACCATTTCTAACCTTCATGGCTAAGACTCACCATGCCACACACACTGTAGCAAACAACCCTCATTCCATTTGTATTCTATTTCTAAGTTCCAGCCAAGCAGTGTCTTTCTGCAAGCCACTACTCTGTGGAAGTGACTCCCAAGAGGATACTTCCTTGATCACTACAATCTTAACCTGATCAAGTCTAGGGTTAATTATTATCTTCCCCATATACCCACATAAACTGTACCTCTTACTCTATAACCCTCTACCTCATGTTGATCCTGGGCCTTGTACTGGGTGTACATCATAAAAAAAATGTCTGTGTGTTGCACATGAGTGACTTACATGTGTTTGTGCCATTTAATGTACATACAAGCACATGCATACACAATTTGACCAAATTTGAAATAAGACACTGGAACTGTACATTCCCTACCATTCAGACTGGACAACCTCCTACCATGGACTGAGCGATAAAATCACAAAACTGAAAACAAGAAAACAATAAACCTTATTTAAACACTAAAACTTATATAAGATTTCACTGAACTTTTCAGAAATAATTCCTTAATAAATAGAATTAAGTTTTTTTAAAAAGATTCTAGAAATGTTTGTGGGAGTGTAATGTTTTACGTAAATGTTGGGAAAATTAAGCAACCTGTAACTTAAAAGTGTTTAAATTTTGCATCCATTTGTTCATAATGAAAATAAATCAAAATCAAGTAAAATGCAGGTACACTTTTAATAATGGCTCCAAATGAAAATGCATTCTGGATTTATGACTGTGAATTGATCTTGTGTATAATGTGATCCACTATTCTGTTGATAAAAAAGACTTGAATATCTTGTATATAATGCAACCTCTATCACAAAACCCCCTTTTTGGAAGGAGGTCTACGATATAAAATGTATTAAAAGAACATAATTCTTATTTTAAATTAGTATATTCATATCTTTATAAATACTGAATTCTCACTGTCATAATGATGACACATCATGTTGCATTTCTCAGGCATACAATGATGGTTAATGAGATCATCTAACAGCTCATTATAACAACATGTAATGGAGCTAATATATATTCAGCTTTTCTCAAACTTTTTAGCAGCAAAGAGAAAAATACTTGGAAATAAGAAATAATATAGATCTAATAGACAAAAAAAACCCAGGCATTACACAAACAATGAAATAACTTTTATATCACAATTTGTACAAAAAGAAAAAAAAAGGATATATTTTGGTATATTTCAAAATATCTTTCTTGTAAAAGAATATAAGGATGAAAGGAGTGTTTAGTGAACATTACATTCCATAAATAAAAGTCCCTTTTCTAACTTGAACTTTCATTGAAATAGTTGGTGTATATGCATCTGTGTGTGTGGGGTGGTGTATGTGTGTGTGTGTGGGTGTGTGTGTGTGTGAAAGCTTTCATAGAATAAAAAGTGTCAAAAAGGATTAGAGCCACCAACAACTACTAATTGTGATATTGAGAATTTTACAGTTTAGAGTTAAAAGGAATGTGCTGGCCAAATGTTAGGATCTCCTAGTGATGTACCCACTTAAAGAGACCTTTTCATTAATGAATTTATAAGATTAGATTTTGTTTTTTTTATAGGATTTGATAAACTGAGATAGACTTTGAAAATTACAAAGTAGGGGGCATTCATTGATAAAAAATGTGTATTTTTTGTAATGTGGTATACATCTACATCCACATGAAGTCACTTAAGAGAGGTTTAGTGGAGGCTCTATAAACATTGAGAAGATAGGGGCTAAATTTGAATTTATTCGGAGGAGTGTGATTGGATAATAAATGCAAATCATATTTGCAGGTACAACACTGTCTAATGAGTTCAAATGTCACTGTGTGCTTTAAACTTGAAACATTGTGCCAGTCTAAGCTAAGCTTAGTAAACACCTTTGTGTTGTAGATAATACTAGGATTCTTTTTTTTAAGCTAAATGGTTTTCATAGAAATCAGAAACAAAACATATCCCAAATCAGTCATTGATTCATTATATATTTAGAATCTACAGTCAGAATATTTGCATGTATACAAAAATGATAAGTTGCCTTGCTTGCTTAGTGCAATGTGTAACTCACCCCAGATATTGCCAAAGTAGACTTTGCACTTATTGTACTTCAAAGAAGCCAGGTACATCATGGAGTTGGCTTGTGAAATGACATTCTATGCATTATCAAATACCTGTGGTTGCCTTTGACATGTAAAGATATGACTGACCTAGCTCTGTGCAGGATATTCATGCATGTAAAAATAACATAACAGATATATAAACATCCACTAGAAAGAAGTGAGGCTCTTACACCCACACTAGAATGTAGGATCCACATATGGAGAAGGCTCTGGGGATAAACACACTCACTGGCTGAAGTCTGATGTTAGATAAAATGTAATGTTAAGTTTGAAATATTTAGTTTGGTGTTTTTATTAGTAATGTACAATGATTAACAACCTTGATGAGTTAGTAACTAAGAATGAAGCTAATTGGTTAATTACATTTATTAATTTCTAACCTATCTGATATCCACTATACCAATCAAATAGAAAGGCCAAAATACCTACCTTTGGTAGCTTTTGTCTTTTGATAAATATAGGTGTGGCATCTCGTCCACTATTAGGAGGATTCACTTCACGGATTTCAATGGTGTCATCTGCCAAAAAATAATGTAAGATCATCTCATGTGGGTCACCAAACATATTTTCTGAATCATCCCACAAACAGAAGAAACGGAGAACGTGACGGTCATGTTCCAAGAACTGTTTCAGTGTGTCGATTTTTTGATAAGGTCTCAATGGCTGTTGTGCACCATCCACCTTTAAAAAGAAAACAGAATACAACTTAAGTTTTTCATTTGCTTGCTCTATAGATGGAACTGATTTCTGTTTAGATTAATATTGGAGAGTTGTAGATATATTAACTATTATGTAGATATTTCATGAAGCAGTGACTTTTTATTAAAGTAGTATGGTGGAGTAATGAACAGTGGCTCAGATTGAGGAATCAAAGAGCTGAGTTTGAATACCAGTTGATATCCATTACATTCATTTATGTGCTAATACCCTTCGGAAAGATATGAATCCTCTTCTTCTCCCGCCATCTATGAGTAAGTAGCAGGTCAGACTAGGTTCTATAGCCTTGGATGGCTACTGGTCTACTGCATAACTGAATATTAGTAAAAAATGTCAATTGTTATGGTGTTAGGGGAAAAAAATCAGACACTCATAACAAAGGTTACACAAAATGTATCAAAAAGATACATGATTGGTTTTGGAGTGAACTACTATTAGTGTGTATCATACATAGTGTTGGTTCACATAACTGAATATATATATATATATATATATATATATATTATGTGTGTGTGTGTGTGTGTGTGTGTTATTGTGTGTGGTCAAAGGTTAGGACCAAGGAAGAACAACACAGACACAAGAGTAGAAATAACAAAGGTATATTACACAAAATAATAATACAAGATGTGGAAGGTGTTAGTATGACTGTCAGTCTGGTTTGGAGTGAACTACTATTGGCTCGATTTGACCCTCTCACTTGAGAGGCATAGTATACATAGTGTTAGGAAGAGTTCATTCTGTAGTTATAGGTAAGGACCCATGACAGTTATGGATGTGTGTGTAGTGTAATGGATATTGGTTCAGTAATTGGAAACAGCAAGCAGAGTTCAAATTCCAGCCTAGTCTGTTGCATTCACTTTCACACATATACCCTCAGGAAAGACATCTTTTCCCTCTCCCTGCACTTATGGGTTAAATATCAGTATAGATTGGATAGTAACCAATCTATGAGAAGGAAAACTCTGATTTTCAAACTGTGGAAGGGACAACAGGAAACTCCTCCACTCTCTTTCTCACAAATAAATGCTAATTCACATAAATCACTAGTTTTCATAAAATATGTAGTACGAGGTAAAAAAATGGATGCACCCATAGAAAGTTGATAGACATCAAGGGAATCATAGACCAGCATCAATGCCAAAACATTCTTGTTAATCAAATGTGACTTTCTGCTAAAAAACTTTTTGCCCAAGGACAACTCTTCTCGTTCCAACACGATAATGATCCTCAGCATACTGTCTTAAAAACAAATGTTATCTAGAGAGGAAATGCGACGAGGGTAAATTGCAACTCTTCCAGTGGCCTAGTCAGAATCCTGACCTTAACCCAATTAAAAACATTTGGGTGATAATGGACAAGCAAGCCCGTAATAGGAAAGTTAAAACAGAAGATGAGGTATTTCGTGAATTAAAGCAATGCTAGAAAAATCTGTCGGAGTATACTGACTTACTAAAGAATTTAGTCTATAGCATGCCATGAAAAATTAAGGGCGTTATTAAAACAAAAGGTTACCCAACAAAATACTAAATCATTTTTTGACTTGTATAATGTACATATGTAAAATTGTATTAATAAACAAATTCTATTGCTTACTTGCCTTGGTAAAAATACAAAAATCAACTTTCTATTATTGTGTCCATTTTTTTTTTTTGCCTCGTACTTTAGCTTACCAGTTTTTAATGGATTTGTGTGTAGTGTAGTGGTTATTAACTCAGAAAGTGGGATCAGTGAGCTGATTTTGAATTCTGTATTTTGTGTTCATGTTTGTACAAATACCCTTCAGAAAGTTATGAATTCATTTTCTTCTCTTCTGTGAATTAAATAGCAGGGTAGACTGGGTTCTCTAACATTTGATGGCAACCAGTCTAAGAGAACTAGAATTCTGAATTCCAAACTGTGGAAAAAAAACAATATTTTTTCCAAGAAGACATGGCCATTCAAGATAATAAAAAAAAGAGAAGTATATGGAGAACTATCATCACCATATCTTGAAAAGACATGCCATTTGAAAAAGTATTAGTAATGATAATATCCTGAAATGTTATTAGATGAAGCATTGTCAGCCATTATTGATTTTTAATGGTTATTTTGTGGGTTTGGAGAATTTGACACTCACAAGCAAGAGGGACAGAGGAAAAGCAGAGACTAACCTATTTAACAAGGTGGTGTAAATGGATGACAGAACAAGGAGTGAATGATAGGAAAAAAATTATTGTTAAGATCTAAAAAGGATAAGAAATAGTGGAGAACCATGATCCTGAAGGGACATTACACATAAAGGAAGATTAATACAAGCTGAATAAAATGCCACTGAATTAATGATAAAAAAAACTCATCACAATTGATTATATTTAATAAATCTTCATCTAATAAATGTCCAAGATTATGTACAGAGGAACACAATACAAAAAGAAATAATTAAAAGAGACAAGAGGAAAATTTCAAGTTGGAAATATGAAAAGATAAATATAAAAAAAGCTAACCAGTTATCACTCCTCACTATTCAGAACTTGATTGAGGAAAGTAAAATATTCTGTACACCAAATGGAAAATAAATATGTATCAATATTATATTAGCATGAATATTTCTATAGACATATTGCACACAGTCCTAACAAGCAATCCTTTTGTTTGCATGAGGACAGTTGTCTTCATTTAATATGAATTGGCTTGAGGACTCTTAAGTGTTAATTACAATGGGATCCATGCAAAATGGAAAGATGATGCACATTCCCCAAAATATTCTGGGATTCTTTTTATTGCATTATTTAAATGTTGTAATTAATAAGCTCTTTAATGTACAGAATATTCCAAAAGTCATGGATGGATTTTTTTGCCTTGAAGATGATAATCATAAATTTAATAATTTTAATTATTGAGCAAAAAAATAAAAAAAAAGGAAATCTATTGATCCCAAAATGACATATACTTGTGATAAGTGCTTAATTGCACAAAATGGACAAGGAAAAAATTCTGAATAATACCGTTTTACGATATGAAGAATATGGATCATTAGGAACTGCATTTGGATCTTGTAGCCTGACTCCAAGTTTATAAAGAAATTCCTGTGTAAATTTATCGCAGTTGACAATTTTGAAATTTTTGGAATAAAGGTTGACTGTTTCATTGATGTTGAAGTCTTCAAGAGTGTAGAATTCATTATCATGTGGATAAGGTTTCTTTATTCGGTGTCTCTTTATGATGGTTCCTGGAATGACAAGAATACAAAGTTTTGGTTGTGCATGAATTTTATTCACATTATGCGGACTATTGTCTTCATCTTTGTCGCCATATTTATTACAACATTTCGGCTTCAGGTGGTTGGAATGTCGAACTGAACCCTTTATTTCACTCTCTGGTGTAGACTGTTCTAGTTCCATGTGCCATGTTTAATGGATGTCAGTTATCAGTTTTCTCCTGTTAATTTTCCCTCTGAAAGTTCTCCACTGCCTTAACCGGGTATTGAACTCATACTCTTTGGGTCCTGTCACTGGATCTAACTAACGCCTTTATCCACTGAGACGTTGTAATAAATATGGCGACAAAGATGAAGACAATAGTCCGAATAATGTAAATAATGTATATAATACCTCATCTCAGAAATATAGACAGATAATGAATTTTATTATTGCTATAGTGAAATGGTCATCATTATGGCACATCAGAAGACAATGACTTAAAGTTTTTCTTAATACTAAAATACATTGAATGCAAGTAACAAGAGCAAGTCAAAATAGAGGGTTACAGGATAAGGATTTTAATATAAACAGATAGTAGGAAGTGAAGATTATGGGAATATAAAAAGTAACTGTTAATGCTAGATTTGAAGAGGTTAAGATTTTAGTGTTCTGAGAAGCATGTATCTTTTCCCCAAATTAGTGATTTATTTGATGAAGATTTCAGAATAGAAAGGAATATGAGATGATTCAACCCTGTAGATGGACAAAAGTGGGTTTTTACCTGCAAATGTCTGAGCAAAAGAATAGGGCTCATCAGAACATTTGCTATGGATGTAGCAATAGAGTAGCAAATGGCTTTCAATGTTGCAGGTGTTGGAAATGGGTTGTATGGTGGAAAATAATTCATCCCCAACAAGGCCATGTGAACGTTTTCGAACTCTGTCAAAGGTGAAAAGTGAGGATTGGGCAATCCAATACTCCAGCAATACTCCATTTTTTTTTGTCTGAACTCTTGTAGATGTAAAGCATACCAGGAGGTGCCAGGTATTTTTCTGGCATTGTTACAAGAATTCTGATCAATTATTCAGCATCATTAATGCTATATTGTATACAGGGTGCGATGGATAAATTGTCGGCTTAATTATGCAAAAATGAAAATAGCACTGACATCTTGTTTTAACAGATATATTTACCAAAATTACACAGAAATATCTTTAAAATTGTAAAGATTGAATTTATTCAATAAAATCGCCATTGGTTTCAACTACAGCTTCCAGACAACTTTGGAATCTCCTGCAACTTTTCTGGATGGGATCTTTATTTAAGTTGAATGCTGCCATAATCCTTGCCTTCAGTTCATTTTTGATGTCACAAGGAATTTTGTTGGTCTTTTGCTCAACAGTGCCCCACACACAATAATCAAGGAATTAGGTGGTCAGATGTAAGGGGTGATCTCGTCGCAGAAATTGTATGTTAGACATGACTGGGTTCTCCTGCTTCTGTGACAGGGTGCAGAGTTCTGTTGCCAGACATAGGATCCTCCAGCAGCCATCCTCTTGACCCAGGGTATCACTATCCTCTCAAGGCACTTGATGTATGCCTCAGTGTTGAGTCTGAGGCCCTCAACAAGAAATTCAGGAGTTTTCTGAGCTGCTGTACTTTTTTAATCACTATTAGATGTCATCCAACTGTTTCTGAATCCTCTGCCCTGTCCTCAGATTCACACCCAAACACTCTGAAATGTTCATATTGGAGCTTCCAGCATGAATACAGCAAATTTCCAAATTTCTGGCAGAGTGAATTGTGAAATGGTGCTCTTTTTCTCACAGATGGTGCCCAACTGAACATACCATATTTTGCAGTCAACAAAATAAAAAAAACAAAACAATGCACATGTGCAAAATTAAAAATATAAAATGGCAACAATTTAGACATCACACCCTGTATATGATTTCCACTTATACCTAATCATTCATAAAATTTACTTTAGAAATATTAATGAAAGACTTAAAAATTACAATGGGCAGGTTTTGAAGTTCCTAAGCTCAATCCCCTCCTCAAAATCCCGTCCTGGGTAGGACGATAAACTAAATCCGCATTCTGTGTAAGACAATAAACTACATCCAACAGCAAGGCATCTGATCAGGAGGTTTTGAGGAGCGTGGAACCACATCTTAATTGCTGGTGTTCCCAGGTCCACCCTGACCCAGAGTGGCAGTACCTGTTAGGGTCCCAGCCATAGGCAAATAGTTAACCCCCAAACTGGGGTCAAAACATTATGAAAGTGTAAAAATAGATTTCAATACCAGAAATACTTTTTTTAAAAATATTATTGCCAGCAATACGTTTTTGAAGAAAAAAATATTATCAAAAATAGATTTATGGAGGAAAAAAATATTTTGTTGGCATTAAATAACCCGCTGAGGTTGATATGCCATAAAACAAAACAAACCAAACCAAACCTCCTCAAAATGAATATTCTGATGTTTTGTCATTAAAATGCTGATTGCAGAAAGTGAGTCAATCCAAGAACTTTTCAGTACCCCATTGTAAAATTTCTTCAACATGTTGATGGGGCTTAGAATATATCAACTGCATCACCTGAACTAGAGGTAAGTCTCCCCACTCCAGGAAAAGGAACCAGATTCTGAGTGGTTATTTATTTGTACTTTTTTGACTAATGTAAACTGGACTTATATCTACCTATCAATTTGTTGTTGAATTTTTATTTTCTTTCTTCTTTTTTTTTATTATGATAATGAATATTCTGCTAAGAATATTCTTCAACTAGTAAGTATCAGTTCCTGGGACTAAACAAAGTGAGAAATCAGCGATAGATAGATGCATACCTGCTAACTACTATTTTAAAATGACTGGAGCAAGAAAAATGAGAAAGTGACAAGAGATAAAAGTATACTGCCTTCTGTCACATAGATTTAACATAACAAAAAGATGCACATTTTAATTTATACTGGATTCCATGAATGGTAGAGTGATGGATAGCAGTTTGGATTGAGGAATCAGAGAGCTGAGTTTGAATTCCACTTGAATCCATTACATTCACTTACGTGCTAATACCCTTGGGAAAGGTATGAATCCCCTTCTTCTCCCTCCAGCTATGAGTACATAGCAGGACAGACTGGGTTCTATAGCCTTGGCTGGCAACTGGTCTAGGAGAGGGAAAACTCTGAATTCAAAACCTGTGGAGGGTCGTTTGGGGATCTTGTGGCACATAGTGCACCAAGTCTTTGTATTCAGCCCTTCAAAAAAGTATGGATGGTTCTGCACAAAATCTTCACCACTATAATCAAATCGCATGTGCTGGTGCTGATGGTTCCTAGGAACTGAGTTGCTTGACCCTCATATGTTGAATATGACAGGAGAGTCGAATATATATATATATATATATATATATATATATATATATATATATATATATATATATATATATATATATATATATCCCATTTGCCGATTAAGCACTTTAGAGAAAGGGTAATTTTAAAAAAAAAAAAGTAGCTGCTCCTGCTATTAATGCATCACTCATCAGTTATGAATTGAGCGCTCTTGACTACTGATGTATGTATACAACACATATGTAATATGTTAAAAATTTCCCTTTCTCTGCCATCCACTATTAGCAGGTAGGGTAGAATTTCAGACTGATGTCAAATCGGTCGAGATTTGATCCTGACCTGAAGCAATCGGATATCTAGCCACACTGATGAGCTGTGATACAGAAAAACAGGCTTGTATGTGGGTGACTATATATATATATATATATATATATATGTGTGTGTGTTATTTGTGTGATACCATCATTCTGGTTTAATAAAGTTCTTATGTGACAGAATTTAGGCTGGATTGATTGATTGATTGATTGATTGATTTGTTTTTTATGGCTTATTTAAAGCCATAAAATATTTTTAGATTATGAGAATCTTTTGGAGATAATAATGATTTACTGATACAAGTCCTACTAATTAACCCATAGTTGTGGGGAGAGGTGTATTCATACCTTTCCCTAAGGTATTTTTGAACATAATGAACCTGAATGGAATTTTACTCTCAGATTTAAGTGAACATAATAAAAGAACTGGTAACTGAATGGTAAATGTCACCCAGGGCAGTCCGCTCAAAACTTGACTCTATGCTGAATGGTTCTGTAGCTAAATTTTCATACATGCTCTACCTCTACTTTTTCCAATTCCCGGTATGTTACTGTTTCATTAAGACAAAATCCAATACATTAAATAATCAGTTCAAATCAAAAGCTGAAAACATTGCTATTTTTTCCTCACAATTTCCTGACAATTTATTAGAAAATTTCTGACAGGGGGACAAAACTGGTGGGTAAATTATTTCTGGGGTCGTATGCCAGCCTAAACCCTGTAAATGTCAAATTTCTGACAATGTCTGACTCGGTGGGCAGCTAGAGTAAACGTCACCCTGGGCAGTCCAAATGTCACCCCAATGACCCCGATTCACCCTATGCTGAATGGTTAGCTGTAGCTAAATTTTCATACATGCTCTACCTCTACTTTATTCTACTGACCGGTATGTTACTGTTTACATGTATGATCCAAGACAAAATCCAATACCACAAAATAATCAGTTCAAATCAAAAGATTTTTAAAATGCAACTGTTCACATTCAGAACAACTAAATACAAAACACGGCAGTACACAAAAGAATGACATTTGATACTATGGTCTTAGAATGAATGTTTTCTTGTTTTCATTGTGGCAAACTGGTCAATGACATCAAAATCTGTTCGTCATGTAAGCTCGTTTTCAATGGACAGCACAGCCAGATCCGACAGTCTCGACTGGCTCATGGTTGACGTAATTTTCTGTTGCTAATTTTTCGGTGCCAATTTTCTGTTGCATCATTTCCTGGGTACCATTTAATTATCAATGATGTTTGAAAGTATTTTTCTTAACAAAAATGTTCTATTTAATTTTTAAACATTTTTCGGAACATTGTAAATCAACTGCATTCTTTTAAAGGTTACCTAGAGAATTTATGTTAAGTTTTTTTTTTTTTTGTTTTTCTTTATACATGTAAAATAAATTTACATTGTATTTTGATGTTATTATGATTTTAGTTTTAGTGATAATTTAAAAACAATAAATATTGATCATTAGTACCAATAATGGAAAATTAAGCTAAAAATTTAAAAGAATCATTTTTGGAATCGGAAAATAGGCACAAATTTTTCTGATTCCGATACCGTTTCCGATACCCCAAAAAGTTCCGATTTTTCCAATTCTCAATTCCAATTCTGATTAATCGTCCCAACACTAGTATATATATTCAAAAGCATATTGCTCACTCACTGGAAAATTGTATCTCAGTGAATTGATACACAGGCAATTGTTGCACTTTTAACTTCGTAGTTTGCTTTTTTTTATTAATGATGCAGAGTTAAAATACCATATCATCCGATAAAATGTTATAACAATGTCTCTTGTTAGTAAACAAGATTGTAGAAAGTGAAACACATGAAAGCTGAAAACATTGCTATTTTTCAATAGGCAATGATAAACTACAGAAGAACTCAAAATTGATCACTGCATTTAAGTATTGCATTAATATCTAAACTTACCTTTTAAAAGTTCAATGATAATTCTTTGGCTGTCACTCAATTTAAAGAGAATTTGATGTACACAGATCCTTACTTTCTGTACAAACAATTATTTTTATTTCATGGGTGACTTTTGCTCAGTTTCACAATTAATTGTGATTATTCCCAAATTTACTATATTTATTATTTATTTAGTTATAAAGATTGTTATCTTAATTTTTTATTTTTTTTTAAATCAGGTAAAACATTGCTGAAAACAATTGCAGTAATGAAAACTTGGAAATCCAAAATTTAAGGATTGTGGGTTTGGATGTGGTCCATAATGTTTTTAATTTGCTTATGGAATTGGTCTGATTCCAAAATGGTATGATATGTTAGGCTACGGCCTCTAGAAGTAAAGTTGAAAATGTGTGACACACTGATTTTTGCATTTATTATATAAATTAACCAACCTCACCTGAATTTCTGAGATGAAAATTATTATTATTTTAATATAATCAAGGGGGTATATCTAGTATATTAAACAAAGTCCAAATAGAAGACAATTATAGAATTAGTGATCAAGCATGTCTCACTAGATCACTTACTACTGAACAGTGAGTTTGATCCACAACTGCTTTCTGCCTTGTACCACATCTAAGCCACCACCAAATTGGAAGAATGATATTCTTCTCCAAGATCTAAAATCATCATTTACTTGAAACTATACAGGTTTGCTAGTACTGCAGTGGAGAGTTGTATCAGGAAATTAGCACTACAGGTACAATGGGTTAATTTGTAAATACGCTGGAAATTCTTTCATTTTTTTTAATACAAGTGTTGGCAGGCTGGTAATCACAAAACTGGGATTATACAAACACAAGATAAATGTCTGATATAGAAATGAAGTTAAGAAAATTGTAAATGTGGAAAATGAAAATGATTTCATATTTGTGAATGTGGAAAATTTTTGAATTTACATGAAAATTGAATGTAATATGTTCCTTTTGCACTGATATCCCTATCAAAAGCATGAACCTGATATTTCCTGCACTGTATCCCCACAACAGGTTGGATCTTAATATTGGTAAAACAGAAGGTATCACAGTATTGAATACAGGTGCAAGTGCATCAGTTGGATCTTTTCTAACATGACTCCTCATTTTAGTTCACAGACTTTTTAAGCTAGTAACTCCAGTGCTCTGTATACTGCTAGCAATATCTGTATATCTTGTGTATGCAATTATTATATCATCTTGTTCATTGTTTTCTGCATACATTTATTACATTGATTCAAGTATATTTATGAAATTATATTTATATCTACTTTGCATTACTTTCTGAATACATTATATTGCTTTGTTATTTTTATGTATACATTATATTGTCTTGTGTATGTATTTTCTACATTGCCTTGAGTATGCATTTTTTATTATACTTCATATAGGCAGACCTCTTATTGGATATTGTTTATCTTTTGCATATTATTTATAAGCTCATCTTTTACTGTTTCCTTTTTTTCAGTTTGAACTTTTACTTTTCAATAAATCTATTGGCTACATGGTGTTCAATAGAGTGATTCTGCTTAGAATTCCACCTCATCACAGCATAGTATAATTAAATATGTAAAATATATTTAAATCTAGATATAATAAGATATTTTATTATTTAGCTTTTTCTGTGAAGATTTTTTCCTTTTGAATCATTAGAATATTTAAATGTGAATTGTCTCCTTATTTTAAACCTAATAATCACAAATAAAAATGAAAAGATAATATAACTAACCTTGATTTATTCCACTGTTTTTTTTCTTGAGTTCAACAACCTGGATGGAATCATCTTCCAAATAAAAATAGATTTTGCATTCATGTATTCTGAATGTCTCCTCTCGCCTTTCACTGATTGCTTCTTGGTAAAAAGCATCAAATGAAAGAACCTTTTGATCAAAAGCTACCCAAGTTGGTTGTTTAGTTCCTTTACCAATTTCACTTGTAGCAGGAGGAACAATTTGGTCAGGTCGAGGCTCCCCACCAATTCCTGGTTTTGTCTCACCCACTTGCTGAGTAACATTGTTACAGATATCAAAATGGTGGGATTTGTGAAATTTTGTCTTTCCAATCTGTGAAAGAAAATATTTTATAAAGAAAATTTTAATATACAACTTAATACAGTAATATCATCCAAAATCTTTGTCTAAAGAATCGCATTAGAGTTCATGTTTATTCACAGTGGTAATAGTATTATTAGCCATTTCCCTATAAGGAAACAGTTAGCATTCATTACCTGAGCAACCAGTACTGTTGTAGTTTGAAATTTAAAAAATATTTCTCTTGAAAGAATTTTTCAGGAAAATAGGTTTCTCAAGTCCAGTAGCTGTTATTGCTCTTTCCCGTATCACTCTACCTCATCAACAATTATTTTCACAGTTAAGCTAAATATTTCTTTTTGAAATTCTGAGATTAGGTGTTATCATTATTTACATTATTTATATGTGGGCTATTGTCTCTATCTTTGTTGCTATTATCACATTATGGACATTGTGTTCTCTGGCCTTCATAAGGTGCTTATTATGGGTAATCTTCAGGAACCCTTTATTTAATCTTTGGGGATAAATTGTTCTCATTCTGCTGACCATGTCTAGGGATATCTTATCTAGCCCTTATTTAGTACTATTCAGTTATTGCACACACTGTTTTCACTGAGTTCAAGTAAAGTTCAGTTTGAGATTGCCTGAAGGATACCTGGATTGGAAAGCACCTGATGATGGCTGGAGGGTATAATGGATGAAACATTGTGATAAAAAACTACAAAGACGAGGACATATGCATATAAATAATGTAAATATCTTTGGCAGTATGGAAAAATTGATGATTCCACATCAAATTACATAATTTCTTACCAGAAATTCAATGAAAAAAATTCTGGATAAAATGGTAATGTTAGCCATTTCCTTATAAGGAAACATTTAACATTCCTTGACTGAGCAGTTAGTGCTATTCGAGTTATTTTTTTTTTTTTTTTTACTCAGGCTGGGATCAAACTGTAGTATCTGTTCTGAACTCTAATGATAATGTTAATATTAGCGGTTTGCTTATAAGGAAACATTCAGCATTTATTGACTGAGCAGATAGGGGTAATTTCTCTGAAAACAATTTTTTAGGTTTCTCAAGTTCAGTAACTGTTATTGCTCTTTCAAGTATTAATAAAGGTTTCCTTCCTAACCTTTTGTTTAAGTAGTGTGTAACATTAACATTTTGATTATGTCATTCAAATATTAGATGCTATAAATGGAAAATCAGAAAATAATGGATTGTCAGTGGTCAAGAAGTAAGGTGAATATTACTGAAATATTTCAGGAGAGCAAATCTATTACAAATAATTTTGCTATAGAAATGCATTGAAAATCAGGCAGAAAGAGATAGATTCATAACTTTCCTAAGGGTATTTGTGCTTAAGTGAATGAAACAAAACCAAATAGAATTTGAACTCTGTTCTCCGATTTCTCAGTTCAAGCCAATATCCAGTACACATATGTTATATGTATTATGAAAACTTTAATGATAGCCATGAATATGTATTAAAAATAAAGAAGAAAGGGATTATCTGTGGTCAGGAATTATGTCATTCATTCATGATATATATAGGGTTTTATATATATATATATATATATATATATATATATATATATATATTATTTATTTAAAAATATGTTTCCAATGCTACATAAGAGTTCTCATGTTTCAAAACAAGAGCCAAAAACTTCAATATGATTATTTGAATTAAATTGAATTAAAAGTACCAAGCTCTGTTCCATCATCAAGCAAAATTTTTTGGGAATAACTAATTCCTGAAATTTACACGTTTTATAAGCATATTCATTATTAAAATTAAAATTACGTTATTTTTAAATAAATAATTATATTTATGCTCTACTTTTGTATCGAGCACTATTTTTTTAAAATAATAACAAAAATACTAAAGAACTTTGGATTATTTACCTAACGAGTTCTTTCCTATTTTCTATATATTTTACACACACACACACACACACACACACACACACACACACACACACACACACACACACACATACATATATATATATATATATATATATATATATATATATATATATATATATATGTGTGTATATATATATATATATATATATATATATATATATATATATATATATATAAATACATACTACACGTAATCAATCCATTGGTATATAATCCTAGTGAATCCTAGTAATTTTAATTATTAAAACTGATCCACACAGAGCTCAATGTATTTATTATAACAGAGCATATGTATTATGTTGAGGTAATTTTGTGTTTTTGCTGTAATATATATATATATATATATATATATATATATATAATGTATTACTACTAATTTTATAACAGAAATGCATTGAACATCAGGCCGAAAGGTACTGTCAGTGGTCAGGTGTTACTGGCAAAATATCTCTTTTATATGTCAAATACAGATGTATTGCTAACAATTTAGAAACTTTCTAACAATAGAAATTCACTGAAAAATGAACAAAGAGATTGTTAGTGTCAAGCAATTAATTCAAGTATTACTGATTAGAATTATTTACAATGTATTTATATTATACATATAAATGTATAATATAAATACATTGTAAATAATTCTAATGTAGAAATGCACAGAAAATGAAGAAAAGGAAATATCAGTGATCAGGAAGTATTATTAAGCAAATAAGAATCTTTTATATACAATACTGACAGCTATGAACAACCAAAATATATTGCTAATTATTTTATAATAAAAATGTACTGAAAATAAGTAAGAAAGGATTGTCATTGGTCAAGAATTAATGCTGTAAGTTTCAAATGGCACAACTGAAATTGAGCACTCTTGGCTACTGACGTTTGTATCCGCAATGGAAATAATACGTTAAAAATTTCCCTTTTTCTTCTATGCAGCAATAGCAGGTAGGGGTAGAATCACAGACTGATGCCAAGTCGGTCGAGTTTCTATGACTGTGGGTTTTGGATCAGCTTCCATTGAAGCCTGTAAATAGTTAGTACTTCATGGTTTGGGTCAATTTTTCTGATGTTGAAACACCAAATTTATTACTAAAATAGCATTATCCACAGATGTAAAATGTATTTTTCTTACTAATTCAATTTAATTTTTTAACTTCGTATGTAATATGAAATGTCAAAATTGTGAGTTGTAAAGTTAGGCATTTTTGCCTTAAAATATGTAATAAAAATCTGACAAATAAAAGTGAGGCATGTTTGCCTTAAAATATATAATAAAAATTTTACAGTAAAAAAAAACTGATAAAACTGTGAAATAAAAAAAAATTCTCTAAAATAAAAGATATGTACTAAAAATTATTTTTCTATATGCCATACCCTTTAAGAGGTGGGTAATCCTGACTTTCCACAACTTCCTATCCCTTTGGGCTTTTAGCAACGTTTCTGCCTTTGCCAAGCCACCTCCCCATTCTGCCATACATTTATGCAAGCTCATCAGGTAGGTAGCCTGCTGTCTTCCCCTATCACTTTTGCTTTCAATATGCCCTGTGAAAATTAAATTCTGATGCACATAATGAGGAAGGAGTGCTTGGAAAATCTGATACTCACAGGACAGAGAAACAGAAAAAAAACAATGCACAACATACTTAGTGAACTTGACTAAATGGATGGCGAAACAGGGATTAGGAGAAGTAACAAAAAGTTTATTAAGAGCTACAAGGGATAGGAAGTTGTGGAGAGCCATGATCGTTTACGTCGTGAGAGGACACAGCACATAAAGAAGAAGATACTTAACATCAGGAAGAGACAGTTGAAATTTCTAAGGCACATAATGAGGAAAGGGGGCTGATACTTATAGGACAGATTGAAAAAAACAACACATAACCTACTTTGTTAGCTTGAGTAAATGGATGGCCAAACAATGTTTAGGTAGGAGAAATAATAAAAAGCCAAAATCTATTAAGAACTGCAAATGACAGGAAATTGTGGAGAGCCATGATCGCCAATGGCCTGAAAGGTCACGGCACAAACAGAAGAAAAATCGATCTTTACTGAAATGTACAAACCTTTTTTCTTTAATCAGACCCATGTCCATTTCTATAAACATTTCCAATAAATTTACTTTGAAAAACAACAGGAACAGAAAATCAATTTACAGTCCACATAATTTTACATGCAAAAACTTTATATATAAGTAAATTTCATTTTAAAATTTTACCACACTTAAAAATGGAAGTTTTTTAAGAATAATTGTGACTATGACTAGTTGCCATGGTAACTAATTATTAACGCCGCTATAAATTCACTCTCAAATTTAATGAGATATTTCTTAAAAAAAAACAGTTTTTTCTTTTCTTTTGTTACAGAATATTTTCTTTCTTTCTTTCTTTCTTTCTTTCTTTCTTTCTTTCTTTCTTTCTTTCTTTCTTTCTTTCTTTCCTTCCTTCCTTCTGCTAGGGTGGGGGTAAAAAAACTTAATTACAAATAGAACAGAACATGTATCACTCTTTGGACTGAATTTTTTCGATTTGGTGGGATTTTTTTTTTTTTTAATAAGGTGTGTCTCAATTTTTTTATGAATATCATTTTCTCCTAACGTCTGTCCCTTTCACCCACACACGGGCGCGCACACACACAAGCACACATACATACAAATGCAAGCATAACACGACCCAAGTTTATTCAGAAATACAAATATGAACATTATCGATTGGATAATCGATATAAAATGACTTCTGTGGTATGCACAGAAATTAATCACTAAAATTCTTATCGTAATAGAAATCAACGTGGATTAACAAATGACTTAGAGAGCCACAAATTACACAGTATTTAGTGTCGGACACCTTGTAATTAATTAACCTACATGTAACCTGACTAACATAGCACAACAACTTCTACATTGATTTAAGTACTGTATAATCATTATCTATATTGATTGGGTAGAATTATTATCTACCTGATTTCATCTATCTAAGTATTTAAGCAACAATAACATCAGGATTTAATCCTGTGTCAGAAAGAAGTTGTTTAGGTGATCGGCCGTGAGCGAGATGTCAAAGGAGGAGACTGTCTTAGAAAAACACGATTATTACAAATGAAGGTGTAAAAGTTGTCAGGTCTGTTTTACTTACATTGTGGTTGAAAGAATTACCAACTAAGAATGGCAAGGCCATCTTTTCTTTCTTTCTTTCTTTCTTTCTTTCTTTCTTTCTTTCTTTCTTTCTTTCTTTCTTTGATTGTTTCTCACGGTCTGTCAGGAGTGTTACTGACGTTGAAGGTGGAAATGACTAACTTCAGTTCTTGGAATGGCGGTGAAGACAATCTAATTTAAAGTGATGATAATTAAGAAAAAAAAATCAAGACAAAAAAAATGCAGAGGGATGAAATCAAAAACTGTAATTAATTCGTCGTCACGTGATTAAAAATACAAAAAAAAAAGTTGAAAGCCTCGCGATTGGACCGACAGTCTTGCTTACACCTGTTAATACACGAAACTGTTTAGTTTACTCGCTGGGTGGTTTTTGTTGCTATTGTTGTTATGCTACCATGGAAATGAAAAGGGTGGTGTGTGTATGCGTGTGTGTGTATTGAGCGTGCCTCAGTAAGTACCGGCATATGTTTCAATATATGTGTCTGTGTGATTTTTCTGACTACGCGTAGACGTTAGAATATTTTTTAAAATGAATGTGTTTATATCTGTTAAATTTGAATGTTCTTGGTGTGTATGCACGCATGGCCAAGCACTTCAGAAGGTACCAATATATGTTCGTCTTTTTTTCCTTTTCTTTTTTTCGCGTATATACGCGCAAATATTAAAAAAATATATTTTTAAATTAATAATGTGAAGTGAATATATCTTAAATTTGAATGTTGCGCGTGTTTGAGATACGTCGGTAGACACACAGTAAAACAGAAAATAAAGACTTCGGGGCGGATTTCTGTTTATGAAAAGTGTTGTTTACTTCGATTATGAATAACGTGTAATTGAAATTGGTAAAATGCTGGTGATAAAAGTAAGTGATCGATTTATTTTAATTTTAATATTGTGGGTTCTCGAAAGAATGCGCCATTTTGAGAGTTGAGACTAAAAGAAACACCTGTTTGTAAAAGGGTGTCTCGAGTCACGTCGTCATTCCGGATTCATTCATGTTTTATACAACGCCACCTATCAGACGTTAAAAGAAGTCCCCTGGCACAGAAGGTGGGGTAATCCCACAGTCTGAAACAAGAAGACCGTGTGTAAATCGTAGAGTATATTATAGTAAGAGTACCGCTGGGCACTCTGACGCAGTGTAATGGTTAGCAAGCTTGTATCGCTAAAATCATTTACGGATGAGTAGTGAGTTCGATCTTTATTGGGTTCTCCACATTTTCGGCCTCGTGCCACATCTAAGCTCCGCTTACAAAATCATTTTGGGTACCTCGATGGAATGTAATGATTAGCAAGCTTGTCTCGTTAGAACAATTACGACTGAGTAGTGAGTTCGATCCTCGTTGGGATCTCCTCGCTTTCGGCCTCGTGCCACATCTAATCTACGCTTTGAAAATCATTTGCCACAATTGCTGTATATTTACTTAATAAATCTCGAGTACACAGTACTGTTGCTATATCTACTTAGCTGCGCTCTCATGAGGCCTGTTCAGTGTTTACTGTTTCCTAATGTGGCTTCAAGAGAACCTGTGGAGGCCCGTGTAAATTAATATTGAGTCCTTGAGTCCACTAACAAAATTCAGTAGAAATTTTTAACTGAAATAAATTAATTTAATAAATATATACATGGATTATTATAGTGATTTTCCAAGCGTAGCTTAGATGTGGCACAAGGCCGAATATATGAAGCACCCAGTGAGAATCGAACTCACGACTCAGTTGTAATTGTTCTAGCGAGACAAGCTTGCTAACTATTACACCGCCTCGAGGTGCCCAACTAAATGTAGTATAATTCAGATAAGGAGAGAAAAGTTAGTTCTTTAAAAAACCAACTAACCTCCTGCCATAAGTGAGAAAATTACTGACAATTTATTTTTTTCTCCTTTTATACTTGTAATAATCGTATTAGTTTACCAATTTTTTACAGAAATCATCAGTTTGTGGCGTCGTCTCGTTTGTTGAACTGGGATATTTTGTATTAAAGAGATATATAATTATGTGATAGGTTGCAGTAGAACTATTATTAAGTTCGCATATATTTTTTTTCTTTTTCAAACATGAGATAGTGGAATGATAGTATTGTATTGAATGCGATGCGATATGTACTTTGGTTGGGACGAAGAAGAACCCGGGTGGAAAATGAGGCACGTTTTGGCACTTGACACTACAGTAAAGACAGAAAAAATGTGAGTGTTTGTGCTACTTTATAAAAATACCACCCCCCACATACAAACACCAGCAGACAAAGTGGAGTGATTCTGCAAAGGTATTTAGATTTTAAATAAAATAATAAAATCTTTCAGTATCTGTCTATATTCCTGAGATGAGGTATTATGTACACTATTTACAAGGACACGTGGCGCAGTGGATAAAGGCGTTAGTTACATACAGTGAGAGGACCCAAAGAGTGTGAGTTCAATATCTGGTTATGGCGGTGGAGAACTTGGAGAGGGGAATTAACAGGAGATAACTGATAACTGACATCCATTAGACATGGCACGTGGAACTAGAACAGTCTACCTCAGCGAGCGAAATAAAGGGTTCAGTTCGACATTCCAACCACCTGAATAAGTCCGGTGCGTACAACGGCCAAAACGTTGTAATAAATATGGCGACAAAGATGATGGCAATAGTCCGAATAATGTACATAGTGTAAATAAATTTTACAAGCCATCATGACCGAGGTTGTGAGCGTGCTGGCGTTGTTCAAACTGCTTATTATCACAGATTATGCACTTTCCCCCAGAGTTGTAACTAAGGCCTGCTCAGCATAGTTGCAGTGTAATGCACAAGTGGGCACTCGGGGTGTTGAAAAAACACAAATATGCCTGAGCAGGTTTCTGCGACAGGGAATGGTTAGCCGCTCTAGCAGACGGGTGTGTCGGGAAACGAGAGTAGCCTACCATTATGTTTTGAATAAAAGTACTTACATTTTAAATGAAAATATTAATCAATTATAAAAAGACTTTAAAACGAAACGCTTATATCTGACACAGCTAACACGTTTAGAGTAGTAAGTTTTTTCTTTTGATAAATAAACAAAAAAGTAGGTTTTTCCATCGCTGATAAGAAATCTTCAACAAAAGTTGATTTCCAAAAATGTGATAACTGCCCACATTTCGAAAAGACATGGTATAAGAAACAAACCCCATTTCCAACACAATTACAGACACACATACCATAATCAAACACGCCCAAACTTTATTATCTACCGAATAACAGACAATATTTACAAACATGCCAAAAAGATTCCACACTACAACACACACTGTTTAAATCAAAGTGTCTAAATGTTAGGAATAAGTCTCACCATGTGAAATATTTCACCGGTCAGAGAAAACTAAAATCCTATTTTTCTCGAACCTACTTTCGAGAAAAAAATCTTATAAAACCCCAAAGATTTCGACTTTCAAAGAGCAGAGATGCGACTATTTTTTCCCTAGAGCGTGTTGAAAGAAACATAAGTCAGCGAATTCAAACGAATCATCTCCAACAAAGACGGTCAGTGAATCTTCGCTAACGATAAAAGTCTTTTTTCAACTACAGTTTTTTTTTTTTCTGAGGGTTTTAACTCAACTAAAGTCTATTGTTAATACGTTTTAACTCTTTTGGCTTCATGTTTATATGTTTGTAAATACAAATTATTTAACATATATACATATGCTTTTTTTATTGTTATTTTATTATTGTTTGGAATTCGTGCGTTCTGATCTTTTATATAAAAACTTGAATAACTGAATTTCCTACAATAGGTTATTACTGTCGTCGCATAAGGGTTTTATTTGTTTTCGAACAGAGATGTGTAGGTACAATATTGTGTTGTATGCGATGGTTCTGGAACTAAAGTCATCCAAAGGGGAAATGAGACACGTTTTCCCCCTACGGCGTCCTACGTTTGAAAAGAGAGGTGGGAAAGCTTGTGCCAGGTGGTTTGTGCTGAGGCGCTCTTGTGGAATCTTCCACAATAAACCAGCCTTACCTATTTTTAGGAAATGCACTCTTCCTATCTGGTAAGTAAAATTCTACTTTCATACAATATAACAAGTATTCATTGGTCAATCACCTCCAATCTAGCTTGCTGATTGGTCAGTTCCGACCAATTAAACCGCCTGCACGCGACCAATCTGTTTTCCCGCTCATATGCTAGGAGCCACTTGACCATTATATAAACCGAATACGTGTGAACTTTTTGAGTAGTAGTTACCAAGTGCCAAGATGTAACCTTCACCGACTCCCGTCTTAGTCATTGCTGACCAGACGTTAAAGATAATTACCAACATTCACGAACTCTGAAATCACTCCTGAATTTTTACCAACTTTGCAAACTCACAATTCCAAACTTTCTTAATATGAACTCCGGTACAACTAATACCTAATCAAAGGGACACGACTCTGTCCTACCTTTTCAGTTCGCATTCATGTACATTAAACATTAATAAATCTAATTGTTATGTTTTGAAATCATTCAGTTCAGTTTTGTATTTTATTCTATGTGCTATTTACGTCAAGTATAAGTTTCATTGCTTTCACGCTTTGATTTCCACAACACATCTTTCTTAGCCATCTATATATATTGGAGATGATCACACAGGAACAAATAATAATGGTAGACAAACCACTTCACTCTTATTACAAGTTATTGTATAGCGATTTCAACCATTTTCTTTTAAATTCCATGTCCTTTCATAATGATTATTACCTTTCATATTTCTTTTCTTTATTATCTGTAAATCGCCATGATTTCCCGTGGAAAAATAGTGGTGTAGTTTCCCGTTTAATTCTCCTCAGTTTGGGATTCAAAGTTTTTCATCTCTTAGACTAGTTGTCACCTAAGTCTAGAAAGCCAAGTCTACCCAGAGAAGAGACAGATTCGAGTCTTTTCTACGAGAAAATGTGCGAAAATGAATGCAACAGATTTTCCCGAAATTTTTAACTCGGTTTGTCGATTTCAATTTCTGCGTTGATATCAATTGTACTACCGACATTAATTATGCCTTGCTTCATTAAGATTATTAATTATTA